AGGGGAATAGGTGGGTTGAGTGTAATGGGCTTGGGCCGAGGGTGGGGATGTTGGGATGGGTAAGGCATCTGCCACGGGTTAAAATGTCCAGGGCTTTGCCGAGAGTGTCCCCCTGCGTTCCGTCCGCAACCACGACCGTGAGTCGGCCGTCCACCGCGTCCACCGGGAGCCTATCCTCGTCCGTCGTACCCTTGGGGTGGTCCATTACCGCCGCTGCTCTGTCTGAAGTGCTGTTCGCCTTAACCGCCAAAGCCCAGGATGCGAGGGCCTCCTCCGCCGTGCACTGCCAGCGCCGTGCCTTTCTCACCGGTGGCAGCGTGAGGTCGCCGCTGTCCCTCGAGGAGAAGGAGAGCTGACCAGGCCTCCATAAATGTGTGCAGGGGTTTTTGAATCTGCAAGAACGAAGCTTGGTTACTGAGATCCCCCGGGAGGCCACATAGGGCTTGCAAAACAAGTTGATTTTCGGTGACCGGGGCATCGACATCGTCAAGCCAATCAGCGATGTTTCGAAGCGTTTGACAATACGAGGCAATGGTAGATGTTCCTTTGACAGTGTTGAAGAATTGTTGCTCTAGTTGCATGGCTCTTGCCGCCTTGTTATCGTGAAACAAGTTGTGAATAGAATTCCAAAGATCTGTAGCGGATGTGATGGAGGAGATGATGAGATCGGACACCTCATCATTGACGGTAGAGAGAATCCATCCTTGAATGAGGGCGTCTAGTTGGATCCATTCGACGTCATCTTTTCCGGTTGAGATTTTCTCACCGTTGAGGAAGCCTTCAAGGTTGAAATATCGAACCAAAAGGAGGAAAAGACGGCTCCATTTTTTGTATTTTGGTTCCGAGAAACTGAGGGTAATGGGAACCTGGAGTTTGAAGTTAGAGATCGATGTAAACACAAGATGAGGGGTGGGTGAAGGAGAGTTTGATTTTTCCGTAGCCATGGAGTATATTTGAGGGGGTTGTTTTAGAGAGAGGGTGGCGGCAGAGAGGGGCTGCCGTGAGAGGGAGAGAGGGACAGCGGCAGAGAAAGCAACACCGAGAGGGAGAGAGGAAGGAGAAGTTTCGGGGTTAGCCTAGGGTGGCTCCGATACCATGAAGAATTGTTATTTTCTATGATTAATACAATGAATCCACCTCCCTTTATATACAAATGGGAAGAGGTTACAATAAGGAAACAATAATAAATATGGATCCTATACAAATATGGAATATACTATAATCGATACAAGAAATATACTTAACATGTTTAATAAATATGCTTAACATTTTTAACATGAAATCCAAAAATTCCAGAATGAATAAAACTTATAATTTTGAAAACTACCGGAGTATTTTTCAAGACAAGAAAAACCGAAATGATTTTATATAAAAGAAAATACATTTTGAAATTCCAAAAATGTAAAAATTTATTTTTCAAGTCACAAATAAGTTCCAGAACTAGAATATGATTTTCCCGGAATTTAAAATTTAATTTTTCAATTTTAAATAATTAAAAATCGGACTAGTGAATAGTACCAATCCAATTACTTCAAAAATACAAAATAAATCATTTTACGTGCTTAAAAATTATGAGATTTTTTATACAGGACTAAAATCTCTGGTGTCAACTTATTATGAATTAAAATTAATTTTTATCATCAAAAACAATTTTTCCTATTTTCTATTCAAGAAACGAATTTAAAATAGAAAAATAGGAAATTAATTCCAAAAATCGATTTTAAAATTTTTGAGTTATATTGATATGTCAAAAAACATCCCACAAAATATAAAATCTAATTTTCATAGTTATTAAGTATTTATGGCACAAATAACAAGTATTCTACACATGAACTACTTAATAAGAATAATACGGAGTATAAAAATACCCAAACAGTAATTTCGAAAATTACTAAACAAAATTACATTAGGTCCAGTATCTAAACATGGCCACCTAATCAAATTTTATAATGGGATAAATTTTTGTCTCCAAAAGTTATTGAGTAATCTAAAAACGATAACCTATGGATATATATTTTTTCTAAAATGATTATGTGTTCTCTCTTCTTAAGGGACCCTATTTATAGGATGGAGAGAAAGTTCTAGAAAGTGATGGATAGATGGATGGTTGCTAAATAAATAAGATATTATTTAATTATTTCTTTTTTTATTATCAAATTAGTTAAAGTAAATTTTTACTCTTCTTAATGAGCTGAAATGAATGGGGGAGGGGTTACAAAATTCTAGGCGTGAGAAAAGGAGAAAACAAAAGATTTTCTTGCTCCACTGGTTTAGTACTACGTGTCTGATTTCCATAGTTTCAATTGTCCAATATTTTATTGAAAAATATAAAACTAATACGGTTGGATTCAAAATTCTTCACACATCCTTTTAACATGATTTCTTTTTCAAGAAAGCAAACTCTCATGAACAAATAATACTATTCGGATAGTAGTGAACCAAAACTCATTTCATTTTTATTTTATTTTCACTCATCCTTATTGCAACTACTCATTTGAATTCCAACTTGTTATTTTTAAATAAAGAGCAGTTTTTTTAATTAATTTTTAATTAGTTTTTTTATAAGATGGATTTTAATGACACTTTTCATTTCTTTTGTACTCAAAAGCTAAAATTCCTAAACCGGATTCAAGGGTGTTACATCCCATCCATATTGTTGCCACATAGGCCTCCATCCATCGAGTAACCAAAGCAAGGGGCGGTGACGGAAGGGGGACTCCGAATCGACGAATACAAAGACAAATTTTCCCTTCCAAGTCTTAATGGAATCCTTCTTGCTCTTGTAGATCCCCCTCCTTCTTTGGAGATTGTGACGTAGGATCCCGAGTCCGTGCCCGGGGACTTGGATAACCGGAATAGATGTTGGAAGCGGTCCAGATCTATCCGAACCCCGGTCTGAAGGCAACGGATAATGAATCCGACCAGGTAGCGGTGGGAATTCGGGACAAGTTGGCAAGGGAGGTGCGCACGATGAAGAAGACAATTCTAGGGGAGCACTATATCCTTTAAATCTACTCCATGTTATTTGCAGTCCTTAAATTAAACTTTTGATTTTTATTGGAATCTTGATTCCGAATTTCATGTGTCCATTATTAAACACTCCGTATGTGCACGTTCAGCAGCAATTTTGTTTTGAAAGTTTAAGTGTTAAAAGTGAACTGATTTTCATAGCCTAAAAAGTATCTTTCCTCGTGGGATCGACCCTTACTTACCCTATCTATATGTTTTAATGAATATTAAATCATAAAGGAGGATTTAAGTTAAGGAAAATTATAAATTAATTTATAGGTGCTACGACACGCCTATCAAATTTTGGCGCCGTTGCCGGGGAAAGATCTGATGCAGTAGCTCCAAGTTCCAGAAACCGCTCTCTCTATTAATAAGAAAAGAAACTGGGAAATTAGGCCAATGGGTGGTCGGATCCGAGCACACCCACAGATGAGCACCGTCTGGAAGCCACGAACTGTCTCAAACGAGAGTGTCAGAACCATTGCCAATTCTACGACGGGCCCCTACCCTAATAAGAGGTTGGGCAACCAAAATGCTTCGCCAACAATAACTAGGCGTACCCCCCAACTTAGCCTCAAGAAAGGAAGTGGTGGGAAAGTACCTTGCTTTGAAGACCCGAGACACCAAAGCATCAGGTTGAGTGAGTAATCTCCAGCCTTGCTTTCCCAACATAGCAATATTGAACCCGTGGAGATGTTTAAAACCTAGACCCCCAAATTTTTTAGGGACCGCCATACGCTCCCAAGAGAGCCAATTAATACCCCTGTCCGAGATTCCTCTCCCGTGCCACCAGAAAGCATTCATCAACCGCTCCATGTTAGAGCACATGGACATGGGGAGCAAAAACACACTCATCGCAAATTGAGGCATAGCTTGAGCCACAGTCTTGAGTAAGACATCCTTCCCTGCTTTAGACAACAATTTCTTACTCCACCCCCCCAATTCGGTGACGAATTTTATCTGCAATGTAAGTAAATACCTCGGTCTTGTTCCGACCCAGAAAAGAGGGTAAGCAAAGGTACTTTCCAAAGTTATCTGCCGGAGTCACTCCAAAGAACTGTTTTATTCGTGCTAAAACAGATAGTAGACTTGTTAAAATTAATAACCTGTCCTGACACCCGCTCATATTCCACAAGACAATCCCGAACTGCAATGGCCTCCGCATTGGATGCTTTAAAAAGGAGCAAACAATCATCAGCAAATAAGAGATGGGAGATGGAGGGGGCACCCCGACAAACATGAATACCATGAAGCACACCCCTGCGCTCTGCATCGTGCAAAAGTGTAGAAAGACCCTCTGCACAAAGAATGAAGAGATAAGGACTAATTGGATCCCCTTGACGAAGACCACGTGTGGGTAGAATAACATCAGACAAATCACCATTAACCAACACCCAATATATAACGATAGTTACACATAACATAATCAGATTAATCCACCTCTTCGCAAAACCCAAACACTGCATCATCCGTCGTAGAAAGGTCCATTCCATGCGGTCGTATGCTTTTGCCATGTGTAACTTCAAGCCAACCCAACCTTGACGCCCGGACTGCTTCGTTTTAAGAAAATGACCCAACTCTGCTGCCAAAAGAATGTTATCCGAAATCAGTCTACCAGGAAGAAAAGCCGATTGTGTATCGGAAATAATCATCTGGAGAAGAGGTTTCATCCTGTTAGCCAAAACCTTTGCCACAATCTTATAGGTAATGTTGCATAGGGCAATAAGACGTAAATCTGCAACTGTCCCAGGGGAGTTTTTCTTCGGGATCAAAACAATGGTAGCGTCGTTCATGGCCTCGGGGAAGACACCTTCGTTTAAACACGAGAGAACAAACCGCGTAACATCCGATCCCACCACATCCCACGACCTCTGAAAGAAGGCCGGATTCATCCCATCCGGACCTGGAGATTTATCCGGATGCATCGCAAAGAACGCTTCCTTAACTTCTTTAGCATCAAAAGGTTAGAGGAGAGCATCATTTTGAATCGAGGTCACTTTTGGTGGATAAGATGATAAAGCCCCGAGTCTTTACTTCCTTCATAACAGAAAATAGAAGAAAAGTATTGAGTGATGAGTGGTTTTAGATTTTGACCCTCAAACCAAGCACCCGAACCATTACTCAACCTGTGGATGTGGTTCTTCTTCTTTCTGTACGACGCATACTGGTGAAAAAACCTGGTGTTTGCGTCAATGGACCTAAGCCAGTGTTGCTTAGCCCGTTGGCGCCAAAAAGCATCCTCCTGATCCAGCAACTTGATCAAAGCAGAATTAGCTTCACGAAGCTCTCGAAGGTGACTGGTGCCTCTCTTGTTTCTAAGTCGAGTCACCACCGCCTTTAAATCTTTGATCTTCTTACCGAAAAGGTGATAACGGTCTCCACCCCAGGCTGTCAACTCTTTACCGCAATGTTCAAGTTGTGCAGGAAATGGCAGTGAGCTTGAAGACTCCCAGGCACTTTTTATAACATCCTTACACCCTGCATCCTTAAGCCATGCATTTTCAAACATGAACCTTCGGATCCGAGGACGACGAGTCACCTTTGACAAACTCAAAAAAAGCGGAGAATGATAACTCCTACGCATATCCACATTGTAAACACGAGCCTCCACATGAAGTCTCATCCAATCAACTGTACCCACTGCACAATCAAGTCTCTCTTCAATACAGTGATCTGAACCACGACCCCTCTCCCAAGTAAAGGGATAACCACACATACCGAGATCCATCAAGCCACAGTCATCAAGTGCCGAACAAAATTCTGCCATTAACGAGAGAGGATGAGCCCTCCCCCCCTCTTTTCTCTGAGGCTGCACAGAGATCATTAAAATCACCAATGACCACCCAAGGCAGGGGTGATCGAGTCTTCAATGTCCGTAAAAGGGTCCATGAACTTGAACGAAGATCACATCTAGGGTTCCCATAAAAACCCGTCAGCCGCCATGGTGAGCTCCCCCCAATTCTAACTTGGATATCAAAATGAAACTTAGAGAAACTAATAAGATTAGCTGTATTATTGTTTCTCCACAACAGTGCTAAACCACCACTTGTCCCAACACCCTCTACCACAAACAAACCATCAAACCCAATCTTGACACGTAGCTCCTCCACCTTTCCACGTGAACACTTCAGTTCCATAAGAAAAACAAAGTCGGGCTTCTTAACGGATACAAGATCCGCAATTTCCTGAACTGTCCGTCGGTTGCCCAACCCACGACAATTCCAATTGATGGTACTCATTGATCTCGGCGGGACTAGACACCAGTACCCGCCGCTAGCAAGTTTTTTGACACATCCGTCATAGCTGCATCAACATCCATCATAACTATCAACCCTTCAACCGCACCCCTTTTCCTTTTAGCAACAATTTCCAGCCCCAAATCTCTTCCAGACTCTGCACCAACTGATTCCAATGTATCGTCTAGTTTGTCCCCCTCCTCAAGCCATGGGTCTTGGAACCGTAACCATGGTAATCCAAACCCAGAATCCTTTTTCCTCCCCCCTGCTCTAAGTGAAGCATTAAACGGGTATTCCTCTGCGTTTAGGGAAGATAAGACTGCCTCTCTACAATGCTTGGCAATGTGACCCATGATCCCACAAAAGAAGCAAAAATCATTCAACCATTCATATTTGAAGTATACCCAGACCACAACACCATCCTTCTTAGTAAGTTTCATCCTTCGCCGTAGTGGTCGACGCACATCTAACAAGACACGAATCCTGTAGAATGAACGTTGAACACCACTTGCAGGGCTTCTGTCATGTTTCAAAAACACTCCAACAAATCTGCTAACTGCTTCCAAAATTGCAGGGGATGTGTACCCGTGAGGGAGATCATGAACTTGAACCCACATATTAACAAAGTTTAAATGATTTGCTAGCACTCTCTCCCCAGGGTCAAGCAATTTACAAACAAGAGTAGCATTATCAAAAGACCACGGACCCTCCTCAATGATTCGGGACGCATCTTTCACATGGTAGAAATGGAAGAAAAATAGCCCTTCTCCCTCTTGGACAATTCGCACTCCTAGAGTAGGCTTCCACGCCGCATCCATAACCCGTTGCATAATATCAAATTTAATCAACTTACTTGTGAGAAAGCGCCCAGCAATTGTCCAAGTACGAAGCTCCTCTGTCAAAGGCGGCGCTCCTCCCCTGGCAGGAACGAAAGACCGTCATGTTCTTCCTCCAAGCCCAATCGTGACACACTACGATTCAAATTATCAAAGTCCCTGGCCTCCATCCGGATTCGAGAGAAGGAATTGGTAGATCGATGGAAAAAAGCAGTAAAATTGCCCTAGAATTGCTAGGGAGAAGAAAAAAACCCTAGAGACGCTAGGGAGAGAAATGGAGTATTTTTAGTACTTTTTAATTTAGTTATTATCAGTGCTTTTAACTGTTATTATTATTTTATATTTTTCCGATTGATTCTTTGTTTTCTATTTTGTTCCTATTAAAAGCTTCTTTAATGCATTTGAGTTTTTAAATTTTTGTTTTCTGACTTTTAGGGTCCGTTTGGTACGCGGAATTCAAGCCACGGAATTTGAATTGGAGACTTTAATTCCAATTTTGATGTTTGGTATCAAAAAAATTTATAGAATTGGAATTCAATTCTAATTCCAAAATTTTCAATTCTGCATTTTTAATTCCATACCAGAATAAAAGAATTGGAGTGAATTCCACGGGTCAAAAAAACACGCGTCGGATCGAGTCTTAATTTTAGATCTAATTTTACGCAGATCTAAACTCCCACTCCTATGCTCTTTCTCGCTTTCTCTCTCAGCTCTCTCATCTCTCTCATCTTCGATCTTCATGGGTGACCATCGCAGACATCTCGCAATTCTCCATGGGTGAGGGTGGCGACATCTGGTAATTCTTTCTCTCTATCTATCTTTAAATTTGATTCTTTTTTTAGATTTGTTTTTCAATTTGTCAAATCTTTATCAAATCGGTTGTAGTTGTTAGCTAGGATTTTAATGTCATTTTTTGAGTTATCAAATAAAGTGGTTGGGATCATAAAACAATTTCATATCAATTGTATATATAATTTTATGTTACCAAACAAAGGATTTGGAATTACAATACAATTCTATATCAATTCTTTAATTACACCAAACAAAGGATTTGGAATTGAATTAGAATTCAATTCCATCCAATTCAATTCCATAGAATTCAATTCCAATTCATTTTCAGTTGCTGCTAGAGTTTTTCTATTTTGTTGTGTCCAGACTTTTCTGAGTGTCTTTTTTCTTGAATTGACTTTTTTTTTCATTTGATTATTTTTATCTTTTTCTAGTTTGTTTGCAAATGTGTTTTTTATGAAATTGATTTTGTTGCTCGGTATTATTGTTTTTACTAAATTAGTTTGTATTTCTCTTTCTAATCTCGCCTTTATATGTGTTATTACTTATTATTGATGTTTTGTTTTGGTCTAAATGCATTTTTCCTTTGTTCCTATTAAGCTTATGTTTGTTTTGTTTGGTCTTCAGTGCTTAAAACTCCGTACTTTTTTTGTTCTCTATATTTTTTTAGTTACATACAGAGTACTTTCTAAATCTTATTTTGGTAGTTTTTCTTTTCTTTTCATTTTTGTAATTTGTTTGTTGTTCGGACTTTTTTTTGAAGTCCTATGTTTTCTCGAAACGATTATTTTTTTCCTAGACTGTCAATAATTGTGTGTTTTTTTCTAATCTATTTTGTAATTCTCTAAAATTTCCTAGTTTGTTTTTCTTGTTAGTCTCTGATGGTATTTTTTGTTCATTTTGTCATGTATTCTATGTTCCATTTTCTTCTTTTTTTTGTTTTTTATTTTTTTTTTGTATTTTTTCTGTTTTTGGTTTTTTTTTGCTTAAATCTTTCGTTTTATTATTATTTTTTTCATTTTTTTTGAAACATAGCAAACTAATTTTCATAAAAAGTTAATCTTTCCCTGGCAACGGCGCCAAAATTTGATGGGCGTGTTGTAGCACCTACAAATTAATTTATTATTTTCCTTAACTTAAATCCTCCTTTATGAATTAATATTCATTAAAACATATATATAGGATAAGTAAGGGTCGAGGAAATCCATTAAACCATATAGATAGGATAAGTAAGGGTCGAGGAAAGATACTTTTTAGGTTATGAAAATCAGTTCACTGCTGAACGTGCACATACGGAGTGTTTAATAATGGACACATGAAATTCGGAATCAAGATTCCAATAAAAATCAAAAGTTTAATTTAAGGACTGCAAAATAACACGGAGTAGATTTAAAGGAAATAGTGCTCCCCTAGAATTGTCTTCTTCATCGCTGCGCAGATTCCTAGAACCAGAGTCACCCATGGCTTCCCTCCAATGCGCCGGACCCATTGACACCGCCGCCAGCGCCGAATTGTTGTCATCGGACTGCTGGGCCTAGGGGTCGGAACCCTAGGCCAGCTCCCTGCTCTGCTCCCGATCTGTCTCTCGATCTCCCTCTAGAATTGGGGTTGAAGGAGATGATTTTTCTTGTGGCTTTTGTCTCCTTTTATAATTGTGAAGTTTGGAATCTTCAATTTGGAGTATGATTCTTGGAATTTGCGTTGGATTTGGGGAAGGACTCTGTTTCTTGCGCCTTCCGTTTGGAGTCTGCTCTCTTCTGCGCTGGTTTGCTTCCTCTTCTACGGTTCTTTCTTTTTTTTTCTCTTTTATTTATTTGCTTGCTTCAATAATTGCTTGGGTCAAAAGGGTGGTGGATCAAATACATCTTTGGGCTTGGTCCTAACCTCATTCTTCTCCCATTGCTTTTGTTCCATAGGCCCAATTCCATTATCTTCCTTAGATCAGGACTCCAAATTAATTATCAAATATAAATTTGCTCAAAATCATGCATTTTATGTATAATATGCAAACAATGGCCTAAAATGCTAAGTATTAGAAAATATGCTCATTAAGGTATAAAATGCATATTAAATATATTAAAACTACTAAGAAATGAGAGAATAAAATACGACATTTTATGACTTAACAGGAGGAATTCGGAATAATTAAAGAAGGAAATGGTCCAGCGATGGATGGGAAAACGGAAGCCATACTCTATAGACTTAAGGTAGACGGCGAAGAAGCCCGAAGGGGCATCGAATACTGAGTCCTCTAGAGATGACCGGTGAACGGTAGGCCTGGCTAACCGGATGGCCTTCCAAAACTCCTTGCTTGAGAGGTCACACTTCTGGGGGCGGATGAGGTTGTCATCCAACCTCGTCCTGCTATGAGATCTATGGGCCTCCGGGGACCGAGGAAGGGAGTTTCCAGCCATGTTTGATTGCCTCGCTCGGCCACCAGTCTTGTGATGATGGCTAGAAGATGCGCCATACGTGGGTAGGATGTTGGTCTTATGGGAGACCATCGATCACCCTTAGGGATTCACTACAACAGTATCAGGTATTGACAGCCCAACATGACGAGGTACATGAGTCATGTATCTTGCGAAGCCCCTCCTATCCATCCACCGCTCAATAGTGGGGCTCCGCACTGCTGTAGTGAACTATAAGGGGTGCCCTATAGGAATCTTCCTCGGTTTGGAGCTATAGAGAGATGTGGTTAAATAGTAAGTGTCCACCTTCCTATCACCAATTGGTTTTAGGAAGCATTTGGGACCTCTTTAACTTCAGAACTCTGTAGTTAAGCGTGCTGGAACAAGAGTAGTCCTTGGATGGTGACCCACTGGGAAGTTCCAAAAAACAATCCTATGAAGGAGAAAACAGACTAACCTAGAAAGGGAAGGATGACGCCGAAGAGAACTTCGTGGAAGGGAACGCGCAGGACAATCAAGAACTCCTGATGAATTTTCTCTCTAAAATGAGGAAAAATGAAGTTAGGCCTAGTATTTATAGGACCGAGTTGATATGGGGAAGGGTGTACGGGGCGATGATGATGACGATGGTAATGATGATGATGATGGAATTTGAAAGGAAATGCATCAAATGAAGAAGGTGCGCAATTATTGCGCCTAATCGCCTTGGGAGGTGAAACAACGCGATGCTGCTCTTGGGAAGAGGGAAGGGCATTGTTTGGCCTGCATAGTTGTCAGCGTGTGTCCTGGTGTGCCCAATCATGTGTTACTCTCACTCGGCCTCCTCTGGTATCGGAGAACTCAGAGAGTGAGGGACTTATGATGGAGGTTTGCTCTAGGTCATCAGATCATCCCGTAGAACCCACGGACGGACCCACGGTAAGGCACCACTTACCACTTTGGCTTGGTACCACCGAGGCGAGCTCATCGACTCGGTTAGGTGGCCCAAGTGGTGGGCACCCATATGCTGGCACGTGAAGCTGCCACCTGGGGACGGATGTGAAACCTTAAGGCTCTAACGACCAACGACGAGAGCTAGGCGACAAGTGAGTGTCATGAGCCTCCCAAGGATTCCTAAAGATCAAGAAAATAGCTAGGCGACAAACGAGTGTCGAATCACGATTATTACCGTTATACATTGTGAGGGCTATAAATAGCCCTACGCATTAGCCTTGCAAGGGGATCCGAAATCAAGCAAATATACTCCCACTTTGCACACACTCTCTCTCTATTCCTTTTCCTTGCTTACTCAACTCACCCGACCCCACGGTCGGCCTATTCGGTAGTGTATTACAATCAACTCAATTCAAACTTATAATAATAGAGTTATGCACATTTTACTTAGTGATGGTTTTCTCTCGACAGATTGCAGTTAACAATCGATCGTCTAATAAGATAACTGATTGTCTAAGTTTCAATGCACTATAACTACTATTTGTATGACTGTCATTCAACCTTTTAAATCGACATTCGATTATCTACTTGAACAGTTCATTGCTAGGCCAGTTTTTAAAATCTAAATGGTTTCTACTATCTTAGCTAATTTATTTTCTTACCATCTCTTTTCTAAACGCTAACACCATTTTGATCAAGAAATTTGTCTCTTATATCATACCTTTGATTACATATATTATATAAAGTTTATTAAGCTTTTGTATAGCTTTTCCTGAGCAAATTGAGAAAAAAATATTGTTTATAAAGCTTTATTTATACTCTTTGTCCCAATTAAATCTCCAACTTTGATATTGCACAGAGTTTACGAAAAGTGATATTATGTGGTTGAAAGTAATGCATATGAGAGAGAAAAAAGTGGACAACAAAAAGCTTTCCAAAAAAGGAAAGAGAAAGATTAATTTGGAACAGTCCATCAAAGAAATAAGAAAGATAATTTTTGGACAAAGGGAGTACCTCTTAATACACTATTTGAGAGAGTTTATTATGTAAGGGAGAGTCTAAGAAGATTATATCTTCTTGTTTGTGAGTTTTAATTTGCTAATAATCCATTATATTAGTGGTTGAAGTCTTAGATGAGAAGTCTGAGCTGCGTGAAATCTTGTAGAAGGAACACTTATGAGCAGTTGTAACAATTCAATTTGTTAGACACCTGGCAAGTCTAGCGAGATAGTGGAATCTCGAGAGAGTCTCTCACGAATTGGAATAGCCACCAGTTGCATCACGAAATGCAACCATTCGACCCCGTCTCTCGCGTTGCAAGGTGATGGTTATGGGATGGTCAACAGCAACTACGTTGTTGAGGACAAGTTTTGGTTCCATAACAAGATTGAGTTCTCCGTCAATAAGCCAAATGGAGAATTGATTAAACTTGAATGTCAAGTGGGCTAATCATCGTATCACGATCAGAAATAATCACTTCATCTCTCCTATTAAATAATTTATGAATTGACTTTTTAACACTTTAATTCTTCCAACACTTTCCAACTCTTCCTAGTTTTTTCCATCTTTTTTCAATTTCTTCCAACTTTTTCCATTTTCTTCCAACATCCAATTCTTAAATTCCAACCTAAAAGAACAGGGTCTTAGTGTTGGACACGTATTCCAACCATTAGTATAAAAGTCTAACTCTCTAACTATCTCCAACTATCTTTAACCGGCAACCTTTGTTCACATGAACAAACTATTCATATTGGAATGAAGGGATGCAAATTCGTATCTGATCCCCAAACATCAAATTATGGTTGATCATTAAAAATGGAGGATGTTTTCTCACAAAGAAAATAGGCAGAGCGTGAACAACCAAACACGAGGAAGAATACACCGAAGAGGACAACAATGGCCTTGAGAAAAACGCGAAGGCAACTAATATCCTTTATTGTCCGATTGATGCAAATTAGTTTTAAACAACTTCATCTTGTTAAAGGGTGAAACAAATTAGGGACTCACTTCAAACTAAATTTGAAGGCGTTGCAGATGGCGAGAATGAAAAATAAACATGTCTCATAGCTCATGAAGAAGAAGAGGTAAGTACTTCTAATGCTTCTTTTACTTTTGAAGAATTATAAGAAGCATTTAATGAATTATTTGATAAATTTAAAAGAATCTCTAACGTTGCCAAAATTGTCAAGGCTAAACTCACTGTTTTAGACGAAAATAATTTTTTTAGAAATGATAATAATGACATCAAAAATAGAATTAAAGCAATGAGTGAAGCAAAATATTTTTAGATCATCTAGAAATCGTTATTATAGGAATGATAATTTTTTATAACCTAAAAGTTGTTTGGCCTAGGCACTTGCATAATCCACATTTAATTTACCATTATTGTTCTAAGCATTACACCCGTATGTTTTAGTGAACAAAAGGATTTACCTTATGGCACAAATTATTATGATTATGATTATTTGTCTAACTCCAAAGACCAAAAAATTTTTGGGTGTCTAATTTTTTGCTAAATACATTTGGAGGTGTGCTTGGAGACTACAAAATTATAGTGGATGGTCTAAGCACTAAACCAAATGATTGCATCAATCGGATGAAAATAATCACTTCATCCCTCCCATAAAATGATTCATGAATTGGTTTTAACAGATTAAAAACAGGGTGAAAAGTGAGAAATGTAATTATTGATGGAGAAATCTTGTGAGCATTTCATATTGAGACCGGAGTATAAACTTAATGCCTGTTGCAGTCGTCTTGATCATCTGTTATGCACACAATTGCCCAACCCTAACTATCACAACCTTGGCTCAGACAAATGGTAGAACACCTTAGCTACCATTTCCCATAGGCATCATTCATTCCGGAGTGATGAGTAAGCAAAACAAGAAACCAGAAGCAAGATTTAACGATCTCGAAACAGGCAAGTATTGATCATTTCACACATGAATCGAATCACGGGACGGTTAAAAAAGACAGGAAAAAAAACATAAAGATAACTCACAGTACAAGCATTGGATTCCATCATAGGCCAGAGGTCTAGGCCAACATCTCCTCGGACTCTAGTGGAAGCCCGAGCTCCTGGAACTCGTCTTCCTCCTTGCGTTTGGACTGATTCCGTGGAGGGGCAGCTATGGCTACGAACGCCTTGGTCTTGCTAATGGGCCGGCTCTTCTCGAGTTGAACAAGGTCACCGACTTTGAACTGGTTCAGAGGGTCGTGAGCCTGGAACCTCTTCTTCTTCCGAACCCTGCGCTGGTACTTGGGGTGCGGCACCAGGCGGACGACCTCGACGGCGACGGTCTTGTCGTTGGCGGTGCAGACGACGCGGCCTTGCATCGACCTCATGGCTCGGATTGCCGGAGCGAAGGCGGCGGCGCGTGGAGAGGGAGAGGATGAAGTTGGGTTGGAGAGATGATGGGGTAGAGAGGAGGCGCCATGGAGGAAGGTGGAGGTGAGATTGAGGGATTTGAATTGGGAGATGGGAAGTTGAAGAAGATGAGGGGCGAGTGACATTTTGGATAAGCGAACGGACGGGCTCCCAGAAATTTAAGGCTTATCCTGCCAACCGGGTAAGAAATAAGAATGAGAGCAATTTAACGCTAGGGGAACGACGTCCCGGGGCTTTATTTGGGTGTTAGTGTTACCCCCGCCTCAAACCTTTGACGCACTCCCTCCTTTCCTCTTCAATGGCTATATAGTCCTTACAATACATCCTTTAATATAATAAAGGAGACTTGGATGCATACAAATTCAACATTTAGCATGTTTATGTGGCAAAATTTAAACATGTCAGCATGTCACGTAATATCCAAAAAAAATCCTTTAATATAATAAAGGAGACTATGCGCGTCAAACCTTTGACGCACTCCCTCCTTTCCTCTTCAATAGCTACTAGCATCGTACCCGTGCTATGCACGGGGAGCATTTTGTTATTAAATATTTCATTAATTAAAATTTAATTAAGAGTATAATTCATAAGGATTAAAAGTTCAATTTTATACAATATCACAATCAAGATTAAAGATGATATCCCTATCTGATACATTATTGATAAGGATAATCAGACCAATTCCTAGTACCATATTCTTATTATATCTAAAATGCATTGAACAGTTGATAAAAACAAACAACAAACCATTACAACGCATTTCAAATATTTTGGAAAACTTCTTTGAATACAACATTAGTGGTACACTCGACTACGTTATTATCAGCGTCACAAATCAAAATTTTAAGGCCCTGACGGTTTGTCACTCGAGAAAAAGCAACGTACAACTATCCATGACTAAAGACTGGTTTTTTCAGTAGTAGACCAACATGCTTTAAGGATTGACCTTGACTCTTATTTATTGTCATAGCGTATGACGTCATTATCGGAAATTGTTTTCTCTGAAATTTAAAAGGAATCCTCGTATCCGAAGGTGTAAGCGCGAGTCTTGGAATCACAACCTCGTGACCAGCATGCTTTCCTGCAATCATTTTTCCTTGGATGACATGGGATCCCGGCCGACTTATAATCAATCGAGTACCATTACAAAGACCCATTGTTTGGTCAACATTCCGTAACAACATAACTGGTGTTCCAACTTTTAAAATTAGTT